ACTAGTATCACAGAGGTCAGTGGTTCGAATCCCACACAGGCCTGATTTTTTTCAGGTCTGATTTTCGCTATTGCATGAATAGCACTATCTACTGCGAGGATCGTGCATCATACGTATCTAATACCGCAGTTCAAAATATATGAACTTTATATATTCATTGTATCTGATTTATCACTTTCACGAATCAACTTAAGGGCCTGCTCCCAGTTGGCTTGTTAGCAAGTAGTATAGCAAAGGTCAGTGGTTCGAATCCTGCACAGGCCTGATTTTTTTTCCGGTCTGATTTTCGCTATTGCATGAATAGCGCTATCTACTGCGAGGATCATGCATCATACGTAACATTAATTTTATGTGGCATTTTTTTCAATTTGCGTAAATCCCGTTAAACCATGCTCTAGAATAAACCCTGCATGTAATACTGTGATAGTTCTGTTACATTTGAACGTTCCACAGCGTAATAAAAGAGATGCATTAATTCACATAGTACTTTACCAAACAACATCATCTTCCCCTAAGCATACAAAGATTTGCATTCCAATTCAAGAATGATGACATCAAAAGACAAATGGACCGAAAAACTTCAGTCTCTTATTCATTAACTTACCCACAGTCCATTTCAGATGCTCAGAGATTGATATATGGGGTTGATTTGACTGCAGATAATGAAGTACAACTACTCTCCTTTGTCTCTGACTCTAGGTCATGCTCCATTTTGATTAAGCTAGCTCTTTTGATCCTTTTTAAATTTCCAAACAAGTACAATTAACAATTGATTACCTTCACTGAGCCTGATGGGGGACAAATGTCATGCACTCCTGTAAAAATTAAAGAGTACATTAGATTTTAGTGTTCTGCAATATTGAAACATATTAGATTGTAAATCAATGGCAATCAACACATGCAACATTTTCTTGATGCATCAATAGTTCGTTTCTTATGATAAAAATTCCAGGACTTGCATTGTACCTCCTTGGTCGAAGTGCATTTCAATATCATCATCTGAACTGCTCTTTATTTCCGTTTCCAATCCTGAATCATGCAACTGCTCTTCTGCAGAATCTCCACATGTCTAATGGATAAAATAAAAACACCATGAGCCTGTATTCATTTAAAAACCAAAATAATGATTTACAAGACGTGTAAACATGGAAAGTGACCTGTAAGTCTATCAGTGGTAAGGTTAGATGACAAAAATTGTCAGTATTTATACACTTCCCCGAACGGGAGAGAAAAAAAGCTCTAACAAATTTTAACATTCACATAAAATGGCCAAGTTACCTGTTTATCGCACTTCAGTGTCTCTTGATTATTGGCAAGTTGAACATCACTCCATGTTTGAGTGTTGCTGAAAAGTGCATGACCTTCAGTCAAAAAAGGGTCTTCAGTTCCTAACATGCCATAACTTGATTCTACATGGATACACATGTTGGAAAATAGATTGACAATGAAAATTAAATAAAACAAATTAGAAATGAAATAATTTATTGCTATAAAGTAATGCTACAGAAATAAACATTTAGCATGCAATCTTTCTTGCTAATATTCACCCTAACCAATGAAATTACAATCAATCATTGCAATCATGAGCAAAAGTTTTCAGGTACTTCTTGTAATTTAAACGTAAAAACCAAAAAATTTCATACATTTACATTGATTGGTGCAGGAACCCATCTGCAAGGTCTTATAAATCAACTAACTCTTTATCCTACTTATATTTCTAAGAAAAACTGACTTGATATTTGGACTTTAATTGATTTCTTTGGAAATTATTTAACTGTTCTATAGTCTCATTAATGAGTTGAGTTTCCTATTTCTGTTTCTCAAGCATGTCTTTTTACTTAATGCACATTGAGGTAAACATAAAATGTGATAGGAGATACCAGTAGTCAATCATTTTGGCTCAAAACCAATACAAGGCTATATAACTATATAATGTATTGATTTAAATTCCAGTTTGTTCTTACCAAGCAAAATATCTGCATAAGTTTCTCCAAATCCATTGTCATCAGAGACTAGACCTCCTTGAAGATTGCCATCAGACTTAAGATGAAAGGGTAAAAAAGTATCACCAATTGAAAGACTTGTCAAACCTTATTCTGTACATCTAGGTAATAACGAGGTAACGATGTCACTTGGATGGCCGCGCAATAACCGAAATTAAACTATAAAACGAAACTAGTCTTTATTCATCCACCATGACAACCAGAAAGCATGGCCCAAACAAATATCCATGATCCTTTGCAATGTCTTAGAACTTCCGCTAGGACAACTTTCGGTAGGATTACTATCAAAACATTACAAATGATATACTAATTTTGGGGAACAAACTAATCCCACAACAAAATTAAAAGAAAGGAACCTCTAGATTACATTTGTCTATAAAGAGTGCTCAGAACTTTGCAGTCTTGTTTGCAGCAGACTGTAAATTATTATTCATAGTTACATGGAGGTAAAAAAAAATTTTGGTGCAGACAAGGTGCAATCAAAGAAGTTGCAGAAAATTGGAAAGAAGTCTGAAAAGTCCAAGCTTCAAAAGAGTTTGAACCATGTCTCCCAGATACTAGTTGGATGCTACTGCTAATTATAAGTCAACTGTTGAGCCAAATGTTGGGGTGAAGCCATGAAAAATTAGAAAGGTGTGCCATCTTCAAAAGATTTTTTAGTTATGTATAGATATGATAACAGAACAGAATTCATCAATTAACTATGACAAAATTTAGTGATATGTACTGTATTCTTAAAGAACAAGTTATGTGTAACTCTGTCAGCAAAATGCACAACAATTAATAGCATACTCACATGATGCAAACACTGATTATGTCAAATTGCATGTAGACTGTCCAATTATGAATTGCAAGCATGAAGCATACACTGTCATACAATGTAAGTGCTTAAAATGGGCTAGTTGTAACGAATTACATTTGAGAATTTTGATTTAGTTTTGATCATAATAATGGTTATAATTATAGCAATAATAATAACTATAATGCTTTGTGTTTGCCTAAAGTACATTTACTTTTGAAATTACTTCAACTGGATCAAAATCACTTGTAAAGTCTTCAAAGGTATCTGAAAATTGAATGTTTGATTCAAAAATTAATATTAATACAAATGAGGACAATTAGTGAGTCTATTGTGACCAGCAAAGGATAGTAGAAGACATGAGCTTACTCGCATTGAATAGTAACCCAAGTAACTCTGTCTATGTGATTGTTGAAATTTTGTTTGTAGTGTTTTACAGAAAATCCACAGTGAATGCTGTGAATAATTTTCAGATCTATCAAAACAGAGGCAGGTTTTGTAGTGTGCCAACGTTCAGGGACAGGGTGTAGCTGGATATCCATGTCATTACTAAGTAGGCTATTATTTTTCTGAGTTCATCACAGTCTTCTGCAAGTGTCAACAAGTAAGTAAGTAAGTAAGTAAGTAAGTAAAGACTTTATTTAAAGAGAGTAGCACTAAAATAGTATAAGAATACTAAAAAACCCGTGGCCCTCTAAAAAAGTAAATAGAAAAAAGAAATTGGTCTGATTCTCCCTAAATTGTAAGTTTGCTATCTAACCTGATTTGAGGCCTAGCATAATAGGAAATTGCACCATTACATAATAATAGAATTTAAGCCTTGTACATTATGAAATTTGGTAGAAAAGAAGGAAATTAAGCCATGGAAAAACAAGTTTATGAAGTGAATAAAAAATAGAAATAAAAAAAGTATGTCATCTAAGGGTAGCAACCTTCAGCTTCCAAACCAACTCTGATATGCAAACTTTATAGTGACTTACTTACTCACAAACCTGTTGACATAGAGTCTTACTAGTCATAATATGCTGATCAATTGAAAGCTTCAATGTTCTTGCCCATCATGCAACCCACAGACATTTGACCACCATCCGTGCCATGAGGGTGAGGAATTTCAACTTGCCTGATTGCAGGGGTAATTAAGGCATTTAAACCAGAATTGTTAGGTTTTTTCATTGTAATACCCATGCTTAAATGGCACAGCTTAAAGGTAAAGAGTCTGCTTCTGTAAGCAAATGGTTTAGAAAGACAATTAATTTTCACATGGAAAAATTATGCTTGCAAGCAAGAAACCCAAAAGCATTTACTATACCAAAAACAAATAATAATAATGAGTGACTTAATGTGAAATAATGTGTGACTTTGCTAAATTCTACAACATTTTTTGATCACACAAAGAATGGCCTAATATTTAGTGTGGTACTTGAATGCAGTTTTGGCCCCAGGTGGGGTGAGGGAAGTTTGATCTAGCCAATCCTCAAAAGTTCAAATGCCCAAGGGATTGCCTGGGGGTGGGAGACAATATTGAAGCTTAGATTTGATCTAGGCATTAGCCAGTGAGCTAAAAACTCAAAACTCTTAGCAAAGGAGTATCTGAGTTAGTCAGTACTAGTAGAGAGAAACAGTAAGAAAACACAAAATGGGGCAGAATAACAACTGCCAACTGCATTATCCAACTCATCCTTAGCTTAAGCTGGATCACTTTGTCAAGAGGAAATTAAGAACTTGTCTGGTGCATAATAACCACAGTATAATTTACTTTATTAAAAACTGGATCATTGGATAATGCAATTCAAGACTTTTTATTGGCTTAGCCATTATGGTATATGAGCCCATATACCATAATCTACAAATATGGTAGTGTGCGCGTCGGGTTAAAATTAAAAGGGAGCTAAAAAATTTAAGATTTGGTAAGATTTGTCTAATATCTTGGGGGCATTTTTAATAAAACAATTATTCCACTCGTGCTTGGTGGATATGACATGATTATAGCCAACGAGGCGCGTAGCGCAGAGTTGGCTATCTATCATCTCGTATCCAACACGCACTTGTGGAATGATTGTTAAATAGCAAATTATAATTAAAAAATTAACACAAAGAAACACTACCCAACTAAAAGGCAGCCAACCAAGAACATTAGGCAAAAAAAATTAATGGGGCAAATTAGCAAATGGATATCATAGTTTTTGCTGGGAAATTACCCCTCCTCCCTTCAGCCTCATTAAAAAGTTTATCAGAAATGAGTTATCTGACGACAAAGTATTACAAATTAATAATAGTATGGTTTTACAGGTATATTTATCAAGTAGAGGATATCTGAATACTAAATTAACTGTTCTTACCGTAAAAATCTTCGTCAAGAAGCTCATCAAATCCAGTATCATTTAAAAAAGGTGTTACACAGGAATAGTCATTGGTCTGCAACCAATAAAAAAGATGACTGTAGACAACATCCTCACCATATATGCTATGAGTACAGGGACTTTGGTATTTGAAGGACAGAATGGGGTCGCGTAGACTCGAGAGACGAATTCCTGGATTGGAATTTTGGAAGCCTCTTACGATGGAAATAATGAGAATTCAATTCCACGAGGAGGCTCTTCTTGTCCAGCTGTTTCCTGTTTCCAGATAATTCCGAAAAAAATGTACAGGATATGGGATATCTAAGTTCGGGATTCCGGGATATCAAACTGGAATTACAGGGATACAAAACCATGGAAATTAATTAACAGAATACGGGATATTTGGGCGAAAAATTAATAGGATACGGGATATTCAGACAACCCCCCCCCCCCTTCTCCCTAATAAAACGTGACAGGAGGTCAGGAGGGACCCAAACCCTTTTTGTTGTGGCTTGAAACCTCAAGCTTTGTCTGTGGGTTGAACTGAGGAGTGTTAAAAATCTTCACGAACAGTGCATTCTTGCAACATTTGAACATTGATTTGATAATCAAACCCATCATCACTGATTGTAATTCAATTCATTTCAGATTACCTCAGCTGATACGAAAACAGAACCATCAGAAGTGCCATGTTCCTTGGGATCTGAAATTTCAGCGGTTGATCCAAAAAGTGATCGGCACACAGTGTGTGGCATTTGGAACTCTCTCTCAGTAACTTCGTTCTTGCCATTAAACTTCCTACGGTCTTGGTACTCTCTCGCTCCGTCCTTTTTGTAGTAGTTTAGAAGGGCTCCTCTGAAGGTATTGCTGGCCTTTCTTCGGTTGATGTACTTGTTGAACTGGGGGTTCTTCTTCACTCTGTACTCGATGTAGTGCTCCACAGCAATGTCCCATTTGATTCGAAACCGACCCTCCTCGTTAACAAACCATGCTACCCCTTGTCGAATCAATTCTCGGAGGAAACGATACACTGTATCCTTGTTCCCTTGACAAAAAAAAAAAAGTTGATCATTAATTGCTTAGTTCAACAAGTTTCTGTTAGGGCCTGAGTGTTAATTGGACGAAAACATGGGACTCATGTGCGAGTTGATGTTTTGATCTTTGAGAAGCTTCCGTCCACGCACATTCGGTCGAGCTGTAAGACAAAGGCGATCGGACAGATGCAGACGGTTTTTATGCTGGAACAAATATTGCCATTCTGATTCCGTCACGGTATAGAGGACCACGCATTGGAAAATATCCTTCTCGGTAACACAGAAAACAAATTAGAGGAATGTTACGAGAAATTCGCTTTCTGCGCGCGAGACTATTTACCTCCTCCCGAATTCGCCGCTTGTTTCGGCATGTCGGATAGGATGTGGAACCAAAGAAGTCCCCAGAATCTTTCTTCGGGACCAAGACTACAGGAAAATTATTAGTGAAGTGACGAACAAACCGCGTGAAGGAAACTAACTCATCAAACTTCTCGATCTCAGTTGTGTGATCCTGTTTAGTAATTTTTATCACTTGTGATGTCCAAGTTAATTGTGTCCAAGTGGTTTCTAGATGTTGATTGGTTTGAATTTTGACACACTGTTCTGATTGGCTTCAGTGAGTTGGACATCTACGTAAATCCAAGCGGAAGCAAAGCTCCAACTTGGACACTGTTAACCATACTGTATTCATCCAACTTGGACACTGTGAACCATTACCGTATTCATCTTTGCTACTTCAACGAACCTTAGAAACAGTTATGACTAATCTTTCTGAGGATATGTGACAGGACTGGCAGGCGTTTTTTTCTCTTTTCGCGAATGCTACCCATTTGCGTTTCACCAAAAAGGGCGAAGTTTGGAAGTCGTCACGCATTGCGTGAGAAGAATGAATTTTGGCGTGACCATTGTTCTCACGCGCGTCGCTTTGATCAAAACACGCGCGTCTAAAAACTCTCAGCTCTTTCTCTTGAATTTGTTCACGCGACTAGAATCCTAATTGTATACAGCTGTGAAGCTTGACTTGATAATTTTAAATTTGTGGTGGTAATTAATGATACAATATTTTTGATACCGACAATTTTCAGAATCCGAAGGAAACGATCGATCTTGTCGTTTGAATCTTCTGGAGAGGTTTGGTTGTGGAGAGAACTGATGGTATGTTATCACACCTATAAACTGCGTGTTACCTTTTATTCAAAGATTCAAATAGGAAAAGATACCTCGTTCAAAAGGCTAAACAATAAAGTTGTATCATATCTATATGATGGAAGTAAGATATACGAATTAAAGTCGCTCTCGAATAAAAAACATATTTGAAGACTAAGTGTTAACAAGTACAATGACATCAAATCGAGTCAATACTGCACACCCAGTGTAAACCTTTCAGAATAAATTTCCAATTTACCATTTTTTGACAGCATCATAAACCTGAACCATGAAGGCTGGCTAATTCTAAACGAAACTCTCATGGATTAATTTTAATCTTACTTCATATATGACTCAGTATTAATAAATTATGGGAAAGGAAAACGTTTTTAGACTTTCGTTAGTTATTTGAAAGTCAGTCGACCCTCGATGAAAGTTGAATAAGGAAAGGAAGACGTTTTGGGTGAAAGTTGTAACTGGAGTCCAAAATATAAAGTGATGACATGATTTCAATAAATAGTGAATTATTTTATCTTTTTTTTTTTCTATAACATTTGCAGAAGAAAAATCTATCACTTAGAAATGGTTATCTGAAATTACTTAATAAATGGTTACAATTCTGAACAAAACTCCGAAATCCAATGTAACCAGTACTATCTTCTTATGTTTATTAGTAAGTATTACAGTTTGGTTAGAGAGGAATATAAGTTTACACTTGCCTCACTGGGTTATGAATTAGTCAACCCATACTTTAAGTTAGATATAAGAAAAGTAAGGCTGTTTGGGTGTAAGTTTTAGCCGGGTTATAAATGAAAGGGAAAGGAACGATTCATATAGTGCAATTCTCAATTAAGTGTCGAAGATGACCTGATATTCGTTTGATTTTGCTTTATTTTGGGCAGGGATAGGTCTAGAAAACTCGCACCATGGATGTTCTAATTAAACCAATCAGAAGCAAAACAAGAACCAATCGTGGCTTGGTTGCCCTCGTATTCCCGCGCTTTTGGTGCGCTTGCCTCTTTTTCATTCGAGTCCTCATTGGCAAATAATGACGCAAACCTTTGTTATTGATTGGCTGTTGTGATGAACTCACTTTCCTTACTTTGTATTTAGTTCTGCAACAGCAAATTGGAAACAGCTTTATTAACAATTTAATCTTTGAGTAAACTGAGCCATTGGATCAACTTCATGAATTCAGTATGCATGATCGCCATCGATCATACATACTGATTTTTCAGGTCTGAAATTCGCTATTGCTTAAATAGCGCTATCTACTGCGAGGATCGTGCATCATATGTATCTAATACCGCAGTACAAAATATATGAACTTCATATATTTCATTGTATCTCATTTATCACTTTCACGCGTTTATTACGAATCAACTTAACGGCCTGCTCCCAGTTGGCTTGTTAGCTCAATTGGTAGAGCGCTGCACTAGTATCGCAGAGGTCAGTGGTTCGAATCCCGTACAGGCCTGATTTTTTTCAGGTCTGATTTTCGCTATTGCTTAAATAGCGCTATCTACTGCGAGGATCGTGCATCATATGTATCTAATACCGCAGTACAAAATATATGAACTTCATATATTTCATTGTATCTCATTTATCACTTTCACGGGTTTATTACGAATCAACTTAACGGCCTGCTCCCAGTTGGCTTGTTAGCTCAATTGGTAGAGCGCTGCACTAGTATCGCAGAGGTCAGTGGTTCGAATCCCGTACAGGCCTGATTTTTTTCAGGTCTGATTTTCGCTATTGCTTAAATAGCGCTATCTACTGCGAGGATCGTGCATCATATGTATCTAATACCGCAGTACAAAATATATGAACTTCATATATTTCATTGTATCTCATTTATCACTTTCACGGGTTTATTACGAATCAACTTAACGGCCTGCTCCCAGTTGGCTTGTTAGCTCAATTGGTAGAGCGCTGCACTAGTATCGCAGAGGTCAGTGGTTCGAATCCCGTACAGGCCTGATTTTTTTCAGGTCTGATTTTCGCTATTGCTTAAATAGCGCTATCTACTGCGAGGATCGTGCATCATATGTATCTAATACCGCAGTACAAAATATATGAACTTCATATATTTCATTGTATCTCATTTATCACTTTCACGGGTTTATTACGAATCAACTTAACGGCCTGCTCCCAGTTGGCTTGTTAGCTCAATTGGTAGAGCGCTGCACTAGTATCGCAGAGGTCAGTGGTTCGAATCCCGTACAGGCCTGATTTTTTTCAGGTCTGATTTTCGCTATTGCTTAAATAGCGCTATCTACTGCGAGGATCGTGCATCATATGTATCTAATACCGCAGTACAAAATATATGAACTTCATATATTTCATTGTATCTCATTTATCACTTTCACGGGTTTATTACGAATCAACTTAACGGCCTGCTCCCAGTTGGCTTGTTAGCTCAATTGGTAGAGCGCTGCACTAGTATCGCAGAGGTCAGTGGTTCGAATCCCGTACAGGCCTGATTTTTTTCAGGTCTGATTTTCGCTATTGCTTAAATAGCGCTATCTACTGCGAGGATCGTGCATCATATGTATCTAATACCGCAGTACAAAATATATGAACTTCATATATTTCATTGTATCTCATTTATCACTTTCACGGGTTTATTACGAATCAACTTAACGGCCTGCTCCCAGTTGGCTTGTTAGCTCAATTGGTAGAGCGCTGCACTAGTATCGCAGAGGTCAGTGGTTCGAATCCCGTACAGGCCTGATTTTTTCACTTTATCGATCGAACGACGAAACAACACTCGGCTTGGTAACCATTCCATTTCGAATGTTCCCGGAGTTGTCATTGTGTGTAAACGGTCAGGAAACCGAATATCCTTTCAGTGTAAACGTCTACGAATCCGAATACTCCAAAATTGATGAATCCGGAAACATTTACGAATCCGGAAAACTCTCCTCTAGTGTAAACCTAGTCTAAAACAAGTGAAAAAACCCATTACGTCGTTGTCTTTTTGACTTAATTTTTTTTTTCTTCTGTGCAGATTTCAAAACTATCGAGCTCGGATATAAAATGAAAAAGAGGTTTGTCTTAGATCGCGGCAATCCATTAGCTGCAGATAGATCTGGATCCTTCTCTGCGTGTACATCTGATACTACATCGAAAATTATTTCAGTGATGCAGTTGATCACAGTTCGATAGTAGCTTTAATCCGCTTGCTTGCACCTTCCTGTTAACGGTGGGCTTGGATATGAACTACGTGTAGATCTGAAACAATAATTAAAAGAAAATTAAAATCTTCTTATTACAGGGGTGTTACGAAAACTAAGACCATCGAAAACTGAGACCCCCTTACTTCTTTTGGTGTAAATAGCCTTACCATTTCGCGATTTGGTTGATGCTTGAGGGTTTTGATGGCGGTGGGAATAACAACGAAGCTGATGAAGTATTGAGGCCTGTCTGTTTCGTCCGCATTTTGACTAACGAAACACACATGTAAGTCACGATAACGACTAATGTCAAAAAAATCACAACCTTAGAGTGAATTGAGATCTGCAACTGTTTCACTCTGTTTCTCTCGAAGTAAGTAGCAAGTTTTCTCTCCAAGGCATGTCGGTTCTTAGAGGTGGGTGTCCACACTTTAAACACGTTACTCTTACCGTGCAAGCGCGACGTTTCTGACTGCTGTTTTCGTATGGTTGTATATCTTTACTTTCACTTGAACATCGTTCCACGACTTGGGCATCTAAAACCCCTCTGTCTTTCGTTGGGTTCATGACTGCTTGGCCGATGTAGCACTTTGGCCCCGAAAGAGAGTTTCCTTCCCTGTGTATGAAACTCTTGCCAAAACTGCTGTATTTAATTACTGTAAGAACGCAATCGTTTATGATGAAATGTTCTCACCTCGTAACCACTTTCATTACTTTCACTGTAAAGATTCTTCTGTCTGTTGTGTCTCCATTGATGTATGTCTTCGTTTTCGGCTGAACAATGTTCTACGTCCGTGTCTGAATAACCACTGTCTTTCACTTGCTGTTTCAAGAATTCAAGAGATCACTGCGAACTGACCAAGCTCTGAGGTTTAGGATGTGAATAAAATGCTTCCACAAGATCACGCCTGAGTTCGAAGTGATAAACGCAAGGATAATAGAGAAATCTATCCTCTGCAAATTAAAACACATGTATTTGTCTTCTCTTGGTCTTTTTAGCTTGCCGGTCTCTTCACCTGCAACAAGGCAACCACGGCATATGTCGTCTCGGTAGAAGTAATGACGGCTCAGACTGAGAACATTTCGTCCAAAATAATCAAGATAATTGTCCGGTTTGTGGTAGTAGCGCTCTTGTCGAATCAGCTCCAATCGAGAATATCTTTGGCAGTTATGAGGTGCACATACCCAACTGTCGTTTAAGGTATTTGTAATCGTGTTACACGGCATTGTTACATGGAAAGAGTGCGGGAAACTCAAGGCATTGATAGGATTTCCATACTTAATTTCATCAAACTCTTTGCTTGTAACCAATAGGAAACGACATCGTGCAAAGAATAGTGGACCACCGATAAAAATCTGGTTAGCAACACTTTGAACTCGCGTCGAAGATCCAAAAGCGCGGTAAAGTATTGAAATGAGATAAAGAGTAATTTGTTTTACCGGCGTTTGTCGGAGCCTTTAAGTCGGAACCTTTAAGTCACTTCTATTACATAGATTTTAAGACATCGTTATATATTTCCACAATTTGCAAGCCTTCATTTCCATTTCCCTCCAGCAGACGTATTATAGTGAGGTATTCGAGACTAGCCACCACGTGTTCAAGGTCTATCATCAAAACCTCTTGATTGTCACTTTTACCATCCCAACGCAAATCAATGTGGAGCAAATGCCAAAGCAGTCGCACGACAGCTAAGTGAAGAGGGGTCTGCTTAAACACGTTTACTACAACAACAATGCCTCCGTGTTCTAGAAGTAATTTTACAACGTTCCTGCTCCTATTCTGCGCAGCCAAATGGAGAGGTCTGTCTACGGAGATCTGTAGTCTGGATATCACCTCCAGGCATTATCAAGGAGTGTACAACAGTATCCTCCTTACGCTCTGCAGCCAAATGAAGCGCAGTTTTCTGATAGTTATCACGGGCACTTATATCGCACCCACGTCGGTTTAAGAGTTCCACTGATCGTTCATTTCCTTCAAGCGAAGCTAAATGAAGGGGAGTCCGTCCTAAATCGTCTCTAGCCCTTAAATCACAACCATGTTGGATTAACATTTCAAGCATTCGTTCTCGTCCTTGTACCACGGCCAGATGAACTGGAGTACATCCACACATCTCCACGTTGGACATCCCCTCCACGTTGTAATAGCATTGCTGCTATTCGTTGGTGACATTTCCCTACAGCCAAGTGAAGAAGTGTCTGTTGTTGGTAAGTCTTGGCGTCGACGTTACCTCTTCGTTTGGTCAAACACCTGCAAGATCTCCGAAACCAAACTTTGCAGCTACATGAAGAGGACTTTCCATGCGGAAATTAGGAGAGCACATTAAGCCCACACTTCGGTATAAGTTTGGAAAACTGAGTGTATCCATTACCAACGGTCCAATGAAGAATTTGACTCTCTTTTGAGAAACAAAAAAAGAAAACGTTTGTAGCCGATAACATCACGGCAAAGCTGACCAAACATTTTATACGAACTGGATTAAGAACATTCGATTGACAATAACTATTCACTTGACTCTGGTGAGGACCTCAGCTTGGGAATACACTCACCCGGGCGATCAGACTACACTATCATATGACTTACGCCCAGTTCAAACTATTTTCTGTAAAAAGGTTTGCGTATGTTAAACTTGGTTGTATCTTCGAGCGCAAAAAATTCCGATCACTTTGATCGCTTCCAAGTTATAGCCTTGGCACTTGCCACAGAACGACCAGTTAGGGTATTCAGTGAAACGTTATAATAGTAATAGTTACTTGCAAAGTCATAATAATAGTCGCACCATGCTCAACAATAATTGGACATGTCTGATACAAACGTCACAGTGATTCAATAGAGGATTAAGTAACAATGATTCACCACGGGAAAACTGTTTAACATGTTTTAAACCACACGAAAATCGCCCTTCGTATTCTTGAAGCATATTTCAATCATGAGGCCGAGCGCTACAAAGTAATTTAAAACTCAATGTTCATGAAGTTTGAAGACACACGTACGTACCTCCAAGCTTGAGTCTTGCTAATACTGTCACCAAAGCAGCAGTTAACAAATGGAATACGCTGCTTGATAACATAAGAACTTCTAAATCTCTCAATGCTTTTAAGTGCGCTATTCGTAATATTACTGTATAGATGAGACTAAGGATGATGATATATATGCGTGTGCGTAGTAATTTTATATATATATCCTAGCATCAGCACTGCACTGATGAGGCCCAGAAGGCCGAAACAGTACTGTCTGCAGTTAGATATAGCTCTTTGGCATACAAAGCTCTGCTTTCATGACCAAGTTGAGCACTGTGGGGTGAGTCATTGCCGCTAGCATTGTGCATAGCTCACTAGGCTTTCCTAGTTTGAGCACTCTGGCATGGCTTAGACGATACCACAAATGTGGTATTGTTCGGGGCAACCATATCGGTTCTTCCCCACCCTAGCATTAGCACTGCACTGATGAGGCCCAGAAGGCCGAAACAGTACTGTCTGCAGTACTGCAGTGCTGGGGCCCCTTCACTGGGGTACTGCACAGAGGAGGTAGCCTTCCCGTAAAACAACTTGTAAATAGTAATAACACCCAGCAACTGTCAATAACCTAGCTAATTTCTCCTGTGTTGGGTCTCCTTCGCTGGTGTACAGCACAGCGGGCCCTTTACCGTTAATTCACTTAATTGAGTTTTAATTGAGTTTTGTTCTGTATATAACACTAATTATTGTATAAATAAAGTTGATTTTCAAGAAAAAAAAGTACTGTCTGCAGTTAGTTATATATATATATATATTGTTCGGGGTAACCATATCGGTTCTCCCCCATCCTAGCATTAGCACTGCACTGATGAGGCCCACTCATTCCGCTATTTTGATAACTAAAATCGCGGAATGAGATCATCATCTACTAAAAAGTGCTCAATAGCTGGGCTAGGGCTATGGATAATTATACTTCAAGATTTAGGTTACTTGGACTTTTACTGCAACTCTGAGTTTCATGCCTCTTGCGAAGCAATCATCAGGCAACTGCCAGAAATAACGGTTACAATCCACCGAAATTGAAAAGACAGAACAATGTGTACATGCGCGCGCAATATACTGCACGCGCTATCGTAACGTTGCGTTCTTTAACAGGAATTTCCCGACATGTCTGCAACATGATGTCAGCTCATTTCTTTTGTTATCTTTCTGACCGCTGGTGGCGAGCGAAGGAGATTCAACACCTCTCGTAGAACAGCACGGTAGTCCCGTTTCCTTTTTCCGGACATCACGACAAACAGAAGAGGGACTTGTTTCGCCTGCTCGCCGCTCTTCACAAAGGCGTTGATAGTAAACAGCTGACTGAAGGGCTGGCTGGCGACAGAGTTTGAAGGTGCCATCTACTTACCAATTTTTTGCTTGGACAAGCTGCTGGAGTTGCTGATTGGTTGCGAACACCAAGTGGCACTTGCTACGGCTGCAAATGTCGGCCTTAGGGAACCCAGTGGGGATGTTTTCTTCGGAGATCTCGAACTCCAGGTCGGTCGGTGGAAGTTTCTGTCTGAGTCGATTTTCGGCTCTGGCCATGTTCTCTAGTTTTGGGAGGGAAAGGCATGGATTTTGATCTATCTGCTCCTCCAGCAACACTTCGTTTACAAAAGCTAAAGCCGGCCGGAACAAATTCTCTCGTGCTACCTGTCAGAACAAGAATAATATAAAAATTGTTAGTGCATTACAAACTTATATTACACAGAAGAAATATTTCTCCAGTACGTACATCATGCTATTTTAATAACATATTTACGTATATAGTGTACCTTTTTCACGCGCGACTGGATCTGGGTTGATGCCAGGACACCAAATTCACCTGGTTGGTTGTTACCATGCAATCCCGGAAAGAAGACACCGTCTCGCTGGATCACAGACGCTTTACACCGGTGGTCTTTTCGGGGCACGATACACTGCCAGTCGATGGTTCCGTTGGGCCGTCTTTTTCTGATGTTAAACAAGCAGCCGGTGTTGGTTACCAGTTTCATTTTCCCCCGTATGGTGCCCTCCAGAACGAGTTGGTAGGTTGTCTCAACTTGCGCTTCTGGCGGCAGGTCTGGCCCTGCGGCTGAATCTTGAATCTTCAAAAGAGGTTTCCATTGTCACTATGTCTGGCGTTGAGGGCTGTTCGAAAATGCATGACTCATCTCGAGAAGGATCTTCGACAGGGTCAGCTGCAGGTAGGTCGGATGCGATGTCGACAGACTGAGCAGAAGCTGAATCGTAGACAGCGGACACGAACTTAACAGGAGTGCTTTCACCAAGAGGGAACGGCTCAACGAAGTCGCATGTAGAACAGCGCCAGTCAATTGAAGTACCGTTTTTGACTGCATCGCGGTAATCAGACTGGCACACTCCGGTGTCACACTTGCGGTGTTGCCAACGGGCACAACCATCACAGTGGAGACCTTCTTGACAGGCTCTAGCTGGCTGTTTACAAGAAATGCACTTGGTCGACATAACGGAATAGCTCAGAATGAACGGATTGTATAAAGTGCCCCTTTTACACGCTTCCCTAGGATCGAAATTTTCATTTCGAATAAAACACGCGATTGGATTAGATGAATCGTTTATCCGACAAACAATACGCATGAAGTGAAGTGTTAATTAATTAAAATTGTCACCTCGAATTAACATACTTCCCGCCGATCTTTTCATGAGCCGAACCTAATTCGGAACGGCTTTGATTCAGACGCTCTACTTTTCATGTGCCGATCTAAATGCATAAATTGTTATAATGTATTTTGCAAAAATTGAGAAGACTTCGCTTGGTGGCGAGTTGGCTGGTGGCGAGGTCATTTTGTGGTGGCGACTTGGTTGGTGGCGAGGTGATCGGTTCTCTTTTGAGGAGGGCTAGGTTAGGGTTGGGCTTAATAACGTGTCTCTGAAAAAATCAAACATCTAGTACAGATGCGTCACATGTAAATTACAGAGGCGTCAGATGTTTCCCAGATGCGCAGCATGAATTGCCGAGGTCCCAGGGGTTTCATCAACACGTGGCTTGCGTCACAGATCTGTGGCATGCGTTACAGATCTGTGGCATGCGTGAATAGATTGATAGATAGATGCCTCACAGATACGTGTGCTCAGATAAGTCGCATCTAGTACAGATGCTTCACATGTACATTACGTATGCGTCAGATGTTCCCCAGACACGTGCCATCAATTCTCGAGCTCCCAGGGGTCTCATAAACACGTGGCTTGCGTCGCAGATCTGTAGAATGCGTTACAGATCTGTGGCATACGTGAATAGATGCTTCACAGATATGTGTGCCCAGATAAGTCACATCTAGTACAGAGGCTTCACATGTAAATTACGGATGCGTCAGATGTTTCCCAGACTCACCGCATGAATTCCCGAAATGTCAGGGGTCTCATGAACACTTGGCCTCCGTGACAGATCTGTGGCATGCGTTGCAGATCTGCGGCATGCGTAAATAGATGCTTCACAGATACGTGTGCTCAGATAAGTCACATCTAGTACAGAGGCGTCACATGTAACTTGCAGATGCATCAGATATTTACCAGACTCGCCGCATAAATTCCTGAGAACCCAGGGGTCTCATAAACACGTGGCTTGCGTCACATATCTGTGGCATGCGTTACCATCCTCGGAGACCCAGGGGCTGAGTCGATTTCAAGTCAGAGCATGAAAAGCCCCTGGGGACATTGTCTTACAAGACTAGTTCCAAACGGTCGCAGTCGTTCTGCCATCTGATTGGTGCCAGAAAATCTTTGTGTTTTTCTGCCCTATCAGAGCGAAGTATACTTTAGAAACCTTTCGTGTGTTTTAACACGGACATATATCCTGTTAGCTCAGTTGCTCGCTATGTTTGTTTGGACCGTGCGACGGAGATTTGCTTGACCGTCACATGTAACTTGCGGATGCGTCAGATATTTACCAGACTCGCCGCATAAATTCCCGAGAACCCAGGGGTCTCATAAACACGTGGCTCGCGTCACATATCTGTGGCATGCGTTACAGAAACGTGGCATGCGAGAGAAGATGCCTCACAGATACGTGTGCTCGGATAAGTCACACATCTAGGACAGATGCTTCACATGTAAATTACAGATGCGTCAGATATTTCCCAGACTCGTACAGCAAATCCCAAGGTCCTAGGGGACTCTTAAACCCGTGGCTTGCGTCCTGGATCTGTGGCATGCGTTACACAAACGTTGCATGCGTGAGAAGATGCCTCAAGATACGTGTGCTCGGATAAGTCACTATATAGCGGATAAATCACTATCCAGCGGATAAATCCATTTGGACGTAGTCGGAAATGTTGGAAAATAATTGAATTTGCGAGCTCTCATCGTCTGCGGTGTTTTTCCTTGCTCGAATGTCTAATCCTACCAGTTACTGAAAGGTTAAATCTGATGACAAATTCGAGAATGCAGATAAACCCTATCACGTGACCTTGAAACCTAGAAAGTATGCGCAAAATTCAGCCAATTAGAGTTGTGTTTAATTTCTTATCAATTTCAAAAGGTAGAAAGAAAATAATCTATTGAATGAATTCCAAAATCATGGACCATCTTTTCCTATACATCAATGCAATATTTATAACAGTTCATTTTACCTCCCAATTACACAGTAAGTGCACTGTTATTGGTCGAATTAGCAGGCCAATCTGCTGCAAGCCTTGTGAAATAGCTTACAGTTCACGCATCCTATTAGTGTTAGTTAACGTTACAAACTCGGGATCAATTGTTTCATCTGGAGTTAGCATTGGACAGTGAGGGGAGAGGGCAGGGAAAGGAAAGAAGAGTTAAGGGGCTATCTTTGGGGGTTGATCTTGGTTTGAGTTATCTTGAAAATTCTATAGATCAAATTTGTTTCAAGTTTGTGATTTAGACAGTTGTCTAAATACTGGCCCTGTTAATTATTTAATCCTTTCCTTTTCCTCTGTCAGCTGTGCACACTTATGCAGTTGATTGTAAAACTTTTTCTGCCAGTTGTGCATTTTTAACATTTTACCCTAACTTTAAGTCCTACCTATTCACTGAGTCTTTCTCTGACAAAGTCAAGTTAAGCCTGCTTCTAGGACCTTTAACAATCATTCATTATAAGTTCCAAACAATATCTTATTTGTCAAAGCTGTAGGTAATAAGGAGCAAACCAAAAAAATATAATGGGACCAAGATAAGCAGAACTTTGCATATCTGATTATTTAAGACCAGAGGAGTACACTTTCCAAGTGTGAAAAAACCTAGAACCTCTGAGAATTTACCCAAAGTGGACACAATAGACTACCAGCAGTCCCTTCTCTTTGCCAACAAAGTCCATTGCACAAGTCAAAAGAAAAAAAGTGAAAAAAAAAAGGATGTTAGCACAGATCTCTGGGAGTGAGGCATACCTTTCATGATCCTGATTTGCCAAGTTGTCTAACTGTTTGGTATTTTTCTAAAATGCATTACTTGAGTTTGTTTAGTTTACAAGCAAAAACTGAGTCACCAACACATTGCTGGGAATATGGTCTGGAATAATATTGGATAGTGATAGAAATAGCGCTATATAAATACTGTACTATTATTATTATTAATAATAATGATCTCCTGATAGAAGACCATCCTTTATTTCATGGAATCCATGCAAATTTCTTAGTCTTTTAGCGATTAAAACTTGGTCACCTACAACACTTGCCCTTGATCTTAATTTCTGAAGAGGCAGCAAAAATTGTGAAATTCCTGTGTTTCCTTCTGACAAGGTGTGATGGTGCAGGTTGTAATCCAGTTCTCTTCTCTGCATGAAAATTCACAAACACATGGCAAAATTCAGACACTACAACAACCATTATTGGCTGGTTCATGTTATGCTATGGTGCACCACTGTGCATCTTTCAGAAGGCAGGTTGTCATCCAGTACTCTTCTCTGCATGAAAATTCACAAACACATGGCAAAATTCAGACACTACAACAAACAACCATTATTGGCTGATTCATGTTATGCTATTGTGCACCACTGTGCATCTTCCAGAAGGATTACAGAGAAATTGCTGCCTTTTATGTTCCACTTTTAAAATATATATCTACAAGGTCAGCAGGAATTTTTTTTTCCAATCTATTTGCTTAGCCTTGGGGAGCAAGTCAACAGAATTAACTTCTTTTTGCGATAACAAGTTTAAAATCGAAAAACCCTTGACTATTCCTCTAATTCCAACACTGAATAATTTTATCTGTTTTCTACACCTACACATGTATAAACAAAATATGTTTATATTTTTTTCTTAGCATACTATATTTCCAAAGGGAGTAATTCAAAGTTAAAACAGTCCCTAGAAAAGCAAAGAAATGAAAAAGAACTAGATGAAATGAAAATGCTTTTGTTTTCTTTGTGAACTACAGTAGTTCTCTCAGCAGTTCTTAAGCCATCCAAACTACTAGCCATTGTCAATGCTCTCTGTGAAGCTATGCTGTTGACAATTATGTCATGTACATGTATTGTAAGTTCTTATTGAGAAATTTGCAAATTAGTTGATGTCCTCTTGCTTAACCCCAAAAAATATGTGATCCTTATCCATAAGTTTCAGTCAGGAACCAAATAGTCTGGAAAATCAAATGAATAAAACAATTTAATCAACTTTGAATTTAAACCAAATAAAGAATATTTTTAGGGAAAAAAGCCTTAAGCAATCAATAGCAAAACAAGCAATGACCAGTCCAGTTAATTCTAAAAAAAAAAATTTCATTAAGGATGTAGTGAAGTGGCTTTAGGAATAGTAACTTTTGCTACTTGACACACAAGACGTTAGGGCTTAAAAGAATGCCATCTATTTAGGGTGGAAATGTGTCAGAACTTCAGACACAACAATAATTGTGAGGAGTGCACATCTCAGAGGTTGTAGTAAAACTTTCAGCTGTTCTGATAATTTCCAGACACTGTAGGTGGTGATTTCTAGTTAGCTTTTTCGTACAGTAGGACTGTTCAATAACTATTGTGCAACTGTAGTGTTTAGTTTAACATGAATTTTAGACACATCATTCATAACTTGATTGATACTTACATGACCATACACAGCATCATTATAAGATTCCATAAACCAATGAAAATCCTGAAGTAGCGAAGATTGATGATAAAATCCTTTAATTTTTCACCTGCAAATAGAATAAGGTAAACAGGATTATATGAATGAAACACATTAAGTGTAAGTTTATTAAAATAAATTTCATGTGCCGGCAGCTTCCTACAGGGTTTACACTGAAGTCAACCATTTGTTTAATATAACAATTGGAGGCATCTGTATAGGTGCAACACTATCTCACATGAACCCTTGTGGCACTGATGGGAAAAAAATGCCCTGTCAGCAATAGTTTTCATCAAGTAGAACATAATGACTTCTACCAAATATACATGTATATGAACATTTAAATTATATTTTCACCTGTTATATGGATTAGATTGGCAAGGCAGCTGCCTTCATAAAAGTCCTTACTCAAACTTTTAGCATCATTGTATTCAAACATTAGAACTACTGGGAAAAGTGGTAAACATATCTTCAAGAGACGATAAAACTCTTCTTTAATCTAAATTACCAAGTGAAGGTTCTCCATTCTCTTCTCCAAATGAATCCATGGGGTTCCTCTTCTTACTGTTGAAGGAACAAAATACCAGTTGATAATAAGCTGGGAATTAGATTGTTTTTAGTTATTTACCACATCATGCACATTATCAAGCACATGGGATCATGTGATTAGTGCAATAAATGAAATTCATAGATATCAACAAGCTCACAAGGGTTGTCCTTTAAAACCAAAAATTAATTTCAGAATTGCTTCGCATTTTTAACTAAAACTTAATACTCTTATTAGGTTTGCTCTCATGGAGGTTTTCTGAGAGAATTAGGTCAACAATCCTTAGCAAGAATTTTGTAACAGTTGAGAACACAGTGGTTTCATAGTATGCTAAATGTTAAATGTTTCATTTACTGTAACACAAACATAGAACTTGGAATCACATAACATTTCTAAACAAACATCTGATACACTTAAGAGGTTTGAGAGAACCTTCCTATGGAATTTCTGCACAATTGCCACCCAGCATTGCTAAATGAACATTAGATAAACTTGAGAACTTTGAAAGACCCTTTCACATGAATTTTTGCAAAAATTGCCAGCCTGCATTACTAAATAAACATTACATACACTTTTAGTAAGTTTGAAAGAACTTTTCAGTGGAATATCTGCAAAAACTGCCCTACCCTGTATTTCTAAATGGTTATTGGGTACATTTGAGAAGTTTGAGAAAACCTTTCAGTAGAATTTTTGCAGTACTTGCCACCCTGCCCGGCATTAGTTTACTTGTTAACTAATGTCTATCTGTCCTTGTAATGCCTTGTGTTTCCGGTAGCTTAGACATCTTACCATCTGCCTTTTTGCAGACGTAAGACAAATTTTTTTACCCTCATCTTTCGCCTTCTGGCTAGCTCAATTGGTTAGAGCCCCAGATTGTGTTGTACAGGAGGTCTAGGGTTCAAGCCCCGGCTGGACCAATACTCATGGTCTTAAAATAAGTGAGGAGAACTTGGTAACCTTTCTATAATCAAGAAATGGATAGATATTCTTCTCTTCTCGGAGAAGAACGAATAAACCATAGGCCCCGTCTCCTGCAGGGTTAGGGCAAGGAGACGTTATTTTCCCACGCACGAGATTACTGTGTGGTGGATGTCCTCTCCAAGGTGGGATGGGTGGGTATTGGCCCTGYAAAGCCCCTATGGGGAGTGGTCAATTAACCTATGTATGTATGTAGGTATGTATGAATGTATCTTCTGTGGAGAGTGCAATCTTCGCCATGAATGTTTATCTGCCTTTATTACATGAACGGTATGCACAAGCATACATTTCTCTCCCATTTTTCTCGGTAAGGATCCATAGAAGAGAAATTTGTTACTGACAATTTTTATCATCTGGTTTTACCCGTATTTGCTATTTTTACTCACAGTTTAAAGTTCAATACTGCACAGGCATTGATAAGCAAAGTGCTGCAAAGTTAAAAAAAGTACATAATTATTTTTTATAAAATAATATCCAGAGTCGTATTCACAAATTAAACATTCGTGGAGGTCCTCTGGGTCTTAGTGCACATATCTCTGACGTAAATAAATATTTTGAGAAGCTGTTTCCTTCAGATTCAGAAATAAACAAACCATTTTTCTCGCGATGAAACGCACATTCATCTGCATTCAACCTAAGTAACCTTGGAACCCAGATCCTATTACGTGTCATCTAACTTTTAGTTTTCCTTTGAGTCTAATTTACTCAAGGAAATATCATCATGAGTTCCTATGTAATTTTTAAAATATTTTTCAACGCGACGAGGGAGATCTACATACCCAGCAACGAGAATATCTGAAAGGAAAGCCATAATAACTCGGTGATTTGTGAAATTTACAAGCACTTCTTCAAGATTGTTTATACGAATTTAGGCCAGGTTACACAAATGCCTGGCTACCAAGTTGAATGGTCCCCAATCTTCTACCGGTCGTTTCCGTTATATAGTTGATAAGCAGCCATGCCAAAATAGCCCTCGGCTCGAGATTGTAACTGAAGTCAGCCGTCCTATCACTAACCTTTACAGCTGGATTGGTTTATTTCTACAAATGCCTGCATTTGCCCTAACTATTTAAGTTTTTATAATAATTAAATTGTAAGGCAAAACTAAAGGAAACAAAGCAGTAACGACAACTTTTCAGCGAAGTTTTTTAACTAAGATAAAATATTTAGTTTAATTTGGTTAAACTAAGATAGAATATTTAGTTTAAGTTGTCCTTTTTTCCTTTCTTTTTTCTGTTTTATTATTATCAAAGTTTATTGCTCTCTTCAGCTGATACATTCTTTTTTCCTTTTTGTTCCAACAGTGAGCCGAGTCTTCTAACGTTAGAGTAGACGACACAGATTCAGAGCAAGGCCTGGGGAGACTATATTGGCAGCTTTCTGTGTTCATCTTACGACTCTGATCTGAAGTAATACTCAAGCTTGTTAAAGTCAGAGTAGACAAACCGCTCTGGCGTACTTCTAAACGCTTCATACAAACCAGGTCCTTTTCTTGAAACCAAACGCCGTAGAATCACAGAGATGTTCCTGCGCAGGTAGGTATTCGGTGACAGTGCAAGAATGGATTGATAGCATTTGAACAATAATGCATCCAGTTAATAAAGTGTAATAGGTGGGAAAAATTGATTGGCTTCGAAAGAGCCTCAGGGTCAAACGTGGTCAGTGTTGTCAAGGTGAGAAGTGGAAACCAAGCTATGATGAACAACAACGTGATGAATGCGATGGTTACACACAGTTTCATCTGCAGCAAGAAAATGTATAAATAAGACTACCATCAGTGTAAACTGCGTACCCAGCCCTTCTCTCTCCCCGCCCTTCTCCATCCCCTAGGCCCCTCAGCCCTTTTCCCCCTTTTCTCAGAGGAAAGAGTTTATACAAACCTTTCCTCCTTATCTAAAGAGGGCGCAAGTGTCTAATTTTGGCTCTGTAATGTTTTCCTTGCTGCTGTAAGCATTGATAATGATCAACACTGGAATGCCGGAAAAATCAAACTCTTGTTGTAAGAATGGTGTAGGGCATTTTCCAGTCCGTTCCATACTGCAAAGGTTGAAATGAAGAAAGAACAGCAGAGAAAACCCAAATGGACGCCACCGCTATGTACAAGGTTTTCTGTTGAAGACAGCGATGCTGAAATAGTCTTAGAATAGCGTGGGACCTTTCTATCCCAGTAGCAGCTACCTGAAGAATGGATGCCCCTCCGATGAAAATATCAGCAGTTATGTAGAGTTGATAAGCATGCGCATTGAACGGCTGGCCACGATGGGTCCGCAAAGTGGTACATATCGAAATTGATAGAGAAATCAGTCAGTCCAATCAGAAGGTCAGCCAGCGCCAGTCCTATTATCTGCGTAGCCCTTTGTTTAACACGTATGTTGAGACAACAAGGCTGTTACCACGACTGAATTTTCTTAAAAGAATGCCATGAAACACCAACGACAAGCACACTTCTGCGGAAGAGTGCCTTGGTTTTATGTCCGCAGATGACGGATGGACTGGCTGCAACTGTCACGTCGCTGACGAGTCTTGGTGAGTAAGTTCTGGGAAAAAGCATTAAAATATTGTAACAATTACTGCTTCAGTTGCTGTACAATATGCGCCTATCTGCCTTCAGTTGAGCGTATTTTCATCAAGTTTGAAACATTTCTGTGGAAAAAATTCATAAGAAATAAATATGTAAATGAACTGTTCCTGAAGTTACCATGATTTGCTCATTGGCTATCATTACTGGGCTGTTCCAAAGCGATCGGTTACATAACGTAATCCCCTGATTTCGAGTGTTAGCTTTTAAACTAAGTTGAATTTTTTTTTTCCTTTAGCTTTTATATCCTATTGTTTTCCTGTGCTAACATTACACTAGGTAGTGATTTTTCCATTTAGGATAGATAGAGAGAAGAAACGCCCTCCACCCCTTCCGCTTACCTTAGATGGGACAGAAAAGCCTTCTGCTATAAATTAATAAGGTCTTCACGGGAATCATTTAGTGTGGCAGATTTCTAGAATGCTTCTTGTTTCTAAGCAAGAACACGTATGATTTTTACCCACTTTCTTCTTCGTCATTCCCAATTGGCTAAACAAAATTAGTTACGTCCAGGTGGTAATTAAATTTCTTATAGAAATCTGAAATCAGAATTGAGTTAGTATGATCAGCTTCATTACTTGAACCACCAGTTTGGTTGTTCACAATTGAAATGGCAAGGAGTTAAGCTAGTATTACGTTGGATTTTTAAATTGTCCTTGATCACTCTGTCAGTAACTGGAACGAGACATAATTTGCTTCCACGATCAATACCATTCACAGCCATTTTTATTTTACAGCGCTAGACTAGACGGTATTCTTTGAAGTCAAATCTGTTAAGCTCGATTATTTTTGAACCGATGCCCCACAAGAAGCAGTTGGTATAGAATTAATCATTACCTGGGATTTAGGGACAGAAAACAGCCTCAAATATCAAAATGAAGTCAAACTTGAAGTTAATACTTTCTCAACCAACGTTTTACAAAGTCAGTTTAAAATACTTATCCCAACGCAATTGCAATTTAATGTAACTCGGGCATAACAACATGAAGACTTCTATTGATCAATTTGTGTTATAAACCATAGCAACACCAAACAGCGAAACGTGCTCGGACTAATAGGCTAGGGAGCCCATCCTTTAAAATCTTTTACGATAGTTGTGGACAATGTTACAAAAATCATATCTGAGTAGTTTTTCTTTTAACCATCCGTAAACAACTTAGTAAACATAGCTTTGTAATTGAACAATACATCCACATTTAGATCTTTGATAGTTTTAAGTGGGAGATATAAACCTGTGTGATATATTCGAAAACGGGCAAAAACCCAAGTTCAAGAAACAGAAAATTTTACCTTTACGAGACGACAAAGAATTCTTACGGGAAGGTTTAGTCCTTTGCACTCTCAGTCAATATGTTTATCTCGTTGCTATCTTGCATATAACATCCATCCGGAAGTGCATGACAAGCTTTTCCAGTGCGAAGCCACCGCCTCACTTGATTGCGCCTTTTCATGTAGCCTTTTGTCCAAGAGCAAGTATTGATTGATACATTCATATTTGAATAAGCTCAGAGTACTTCAACCCAACACTACATTTATCTTTAAAAACTTACCGGCTAACTCACGTTCTCAAATTTTGATCAGTTGGAACTTGTTTTTTTCATCCATCTCCGGCCAAATTTCTCATCTTTCAAGCAACTATAAATGTAGACGCGGGACACAGACTGGATGGTTTTCAATGACACAAAAATAATTCCTCTTTAAGTCGGTCTGGATTAAGTGACTAATTAGGGTTATAGCCTCCATACAATATAAAGGCATTGCAAAGAAACATGCGAATCTGCAAATAAATGTTTGTTTCCTTTTCATCACAATGATGTATTCTGTTCAGTACTGAGATGTCGTCATGTGTACAAAATATCTAGGATGGTGGATAAAAACTCAGGTGAGAAGGTGAAAGATTTGGACCCACAAACGTACCGTTACTAATAACAGTTTGAGGAATTTACAACGCGGCTAATTTTTAAGCTTTGCAGCTCTATGGCAGCCTGGTATCGAATTACCAATCAAACCCACAATAAAAATCCAAGGACTTGAACTTTGACCATATGAAGCATAACTTGGATTTTAGCCTTTGCTTCTCTTTAGCTTAAAGGTGAATAAAAACTGATCATCGCACCTCGACCATTTATTTATATAAGATTAATGTATCCTAACAAAAGAATTTTGGAACCCCTTGCGAAAGAGAGACAATGGGCTCTCTTTAACTTTAAATCACACTCGATATGGAAATCATTTATTATAGTTAAAAACAACGTTAACGTTAGATAGATCGTTACATGTATAATTGTTACAAACTTTTGATAATTTTCCATATAAACGATGGCAGAATCATATTTAGTTCTTTGCATGTATGTCATTTACACATCGAGCTGAGTTCTTCAATATTACTCTTTTCCATGCGAAATAGCCTCCAATCCAGCATGCTTTTCGCTCCCAGTTTTTTGTTGAATCCCATAGTTCTTTCCGAGGAAGGTGAAACCCACTGCAGTCCTTGACAGTCATGTAACTTGGCAATCTGGTAGAACTAAGGCCATGTTATAATATGGTGTTTTTCAGACTTGGATCAAATTGAACTAGTTGTGTATGATATGTTTATCAAGAAGGGAAGAAAGGATGAAACATAACATGCTCAGAAGCGCTCCTTTTTGTGCGTATTCACTCAAAACATTGCTTTTTTTGGTTTGTTTGTTGGCTAATATAATTCAGTTACCTTCGCTATCGCCGCCATTAGTGAACTTCGTATCCCTTGACCTGATTTACAAAACATAAAAATTAGTTTCGGTGATCAACAAGTGAATAATCAACTCGATTTCGAGTCGAATATTGTTTCCAACAAAATTAGATAAGTGGAAGATTAGAGATTGATAAATAAATTAAATTGACTTTGTTTCTTTTCTCTCTTTCATCTATTTTATTATTATTATTATAGTTTTTTTTTCACACGGGGTAATCATTAACATCGTGTTTTGGTTGTTCTTTAGGTAGAAGTTATACACCTGGAGTGAGCAGCTCTATCAGTAAGACATCAACTTACCTCGGGCCGCAGGAGCAACAAAAAGATCCTCCACATACAAAACAGGACCCTCCCATGTAGAGTAAGTGAAGTAATGAATGGCAACTCCTAAAGTCTCTTTGTTCTTTTTCGGCGCCACCAGGCTTGATATTGGAGTATGATCATTACACTCTGTAAGCAAATCAAAAGTAACAGCTATTAGCTATCTTAATTATTTGTATTTTGGTTTTGATACTTCTCTTATTGTATTTTATTGTAGATTACACTTTGCGGCTTTTAT